ATTTTGAGAAATGTTTTCTGTTAATCAAATATCATTGTAGGTTTTACTATGTCTATAATTATAAGAGTTACATTTGATATTATCATAGAAAATCGTTTAGGTTAGGTTGGTAGGACTTGGACCGCCGGCCGCCAGAGAGTGGGGTCCTCTGGTGGCAGATTAATTGCTGCGGTAGGGGATGGGATGGCAGCCTGATCGCACTGAAAATGTGATCGAGCCGCAACATCTGGATAGGCTGATAGGCAGGGAGAAGCCACTGACTTTCCCTGACATGGGGCCTAGTTAGGTGCGGCGTCGATCTGGGGGGACCTGAAATCACATGGCCCGTGTTGGTAGGACTTCCCGACAAAGTTACTTCGAGTATACAGCGCTGATCTGCTCCAACTTAGTTTCCGTTCTTTTCATCTACTGATCATTTGTGGACAAGTCCATGTGGTGACGAATTAGGAATCTGAAGAAACCACCCATATTTAACCCGTTGGTGGTGTAAGAGCTGACAAACGGGGAGCAAACTGTGCAGGACAGTATCACAGGAAAACTTGATACAAATCCTATACCAACATGTCTGGCAAGTGTAATATAGTAGGCCAATACCACCTTTCTAAGGAGGCCTATGCCTATTAGATGTTGATGTTGATTAATGTTGATGATGTTGATGATCCTTTATGGGGCAAACGAAATCCTAGCGTCAATGATTATAAATACAACCAATTTAACAAACAGACGTGATCACCTAGCCTGAACAGAGGACACTCCCTTTTTAGTAGAAAAACATAACATCAGTTTCTTCACAACTCAGCTATAAAATAAAAAAGAAGTTTTACAAATTATCGGCCATCTTTATAAATAAATGTTATTATTTGAACAAAATTTGAAGTCCAAAAAGTATCGTTAAGTTTATTCCAGAGCTCGAAACGTTACCCCAATATCATTTGCAAGTTTGTTCTTAACAAGCAAGAAACATAAAACAAAGATCTATCATCGTTCTTAGTCGGCAGAACACAACACAAATATGTTTGTCATAGTTCACGTGAGGGGGTTCATTGGAGGGGGGAAGGACAGAAATAATTACCCAATAAAGATTGCTGATACGCTACTGTTACAGGGAAAAGCTATTATCTGCCAGGGAGAGGCTGTCAGTAACATACTTTGATGAACGGGAGTATTAATACCAGTGATTATTACTTAGGAGTTCTTTTCTGATTCATTTGTTCGAATGGCTGGATGTTTAACATAATATATGTGAACAAATCAATTTTAATTTAGTTGCACAGATAAAGTGGTGATTATAATCTTTTATCGTTTAATTTTTATTTAAACTTTAAGCGTAAATATGATAAAGGTGGAGTTAATGCTATAGGCATTTTGTACCAGTACACCTTAGGGCTATGTAGGGCCCTACACACATGGTTGATGCATAGCAATTCAAATACAATAAGTAATAATGATACTAATACACATAATATATATTTTAAACACACATTTACATTAATACACATACATATTATGTAAATAAATACACATTATATAAATTCTGGGAGAGAATATAAAATTAAGGTGGGTTTGAAAATGTGTTTAAGTAATGTTTCTGTAACAGGTATTTAAAAGTTAATCCACTGCATCTCACTTTTAGATGAGAATTACTTCCTCTAGCAGAGGTTCCACATCATTGCTGGTTGGATAACGGTCCGGACTGCTAAACCAAAGGTCGTCTGTTTAATTCCCACCCAGGACAAATGTTGTCTGATGAGCTCGTGTGCCCCTATACCATTAAAAATATCATTTGTTTTGTGTTTGGGTTTAGTTTATCTATAATTTGTTTGTATTTAAAACAAGATAAATATATTTATTTAGAAATAAATGTGCCCGAGTGGTGTGGGATTAAGAATACAGAGTGTCACCACCCCTATTCAACCTAATGGTGTATGAGCCGACTAAGGGAGCAAACTCTGCAGGACTGCAGCGCTGCAAAGAGAAGGAAAACTTGAAGCAAACCCTATAACAACCCGTCTGGATAGCGTGGTATAGTAGGCCAAAACCTCCTTTCTAAGGAGAGGCCTATGTCCGATGATTGATGTGCCCGGTTGCCAGCAACAGGCCTATCCGTACATGCTATGTCCGGCATGTTGCGTAAGCGCAACTAAAATTGTTGTAGGCAAACCCTTCTGCGATAAAAGACACGAGTGTTTGTATACGTGTCACAATGTTCGTTCCCGTACTCCTCCGAAACGGCTTGACCGATTCTCATGAAATTTTGTGTGCACATCGGGTAGGTCTGAGAATCGGCCAACATCTATTTTTCATACCCCTAAGGTAAGGGTGACCCATCCCTAATTTTTTTTGTTTTGCAATACAACGTTTGCCGGGTCAGCTAGTATATTAATAACTATTAATAGTATCTAAACTAAATTTTTCTATACGGTTTAGAAAAACAAAGCAAATTTTTCATTTTCATACAATCAGAACATAATTAAGTTTGTTGGAATATGATATGTGTTTTAAATTGACCTGCCGTGTCTTCGGCATATACCACAATGACCTACATAAGAAGAAGAATGTCCAAATAATAACAATCAATAACAAGTATAGTATAACTGCAGGCATGACAAATGACCAGGGGAAAGTGCCAGAGGGATAGAGCAAGGGCTGGAGGGGGGCAGGGGATGTTGTGAGGTAAGACACCGATAACTCAGGCCAACGGCCGAGTTTGTGCGAAAAACAAAGAAAGGTGGGACGATATATTTGTTACTTATAAGTAGGGTTACCATGGAGTTATACAAGTAACAGGATATTTTTTTAAAAAAGCTAAAAGCTAAAGCTAAAAGATTTATCAGCTTTATGATCAAATTTGGTTACCATAAGGGAAATAGTCATCAGAGGTCTCGCATTACATCAGATATGCTGGTTTATTTAGTGATTAAGATGGGTGTAACTATTGATGTGTTTTAAGGTGCCGAGAGCGACCGTTTGATGAACTTGACTTTTATTATCTTAATTAGAGTTACTTAAAATATTCTAGAACAAATGGCGGCTAAAGTAGTTTCTTTTAAAGTCCTCTATAAAAATTGAAATAATAATAAATTGTTTATAATTCATACTTTATTTCATTTTAAAGACACACTAACCTATTGGTATAGTTGTCCTAACTGCTACGTAAGAGGACGTGTATTATTTTTAAACCGAGTACATGATGAGTACAACCATTCGTTTGTATTAATGTGCCCGGTTGTTTTATTTGTTCTATGTCTGGTTATAAACTACACCCATTATTGATGCAATTAGTGTAAAACTACAGTTGTAAAACCTATAATCATATAATAATAATAATATTGTACTAAGGTATTGTAAGTTCACTTGCGTACGTTCAACCCTACGTAAGTAGGTATGGAAACTCTTTTGTCAAAAATATGTAGGTGGCTATTTTTTTTTTAAATATCTATAATAGTTACTTTTGGCCAACTAAAGGAGTTTATTTGTACATCTCTATTACTTTTTTTATTGAATTTAAGGTTTTTTATCACATTGACAAAACGCCATCTAATGCCAAACTAAGCAGAGCTTGTACTATGGGTACTAGACAACTGATATAAATACATATATATATATTTTTGTAAATACATAATTAATATACCTAGAAACACCCAGACCAAATCAAACATGAAATGTTCATGCACACAAATGTTTGACTTGAGCGGGAATCGAACCCGCGACCTTTGGAATAGCGGTCCGTTACACAAACCACTACAATAAATAAATATTATTATTATAAATGACCTATAATATGTATTAGAAATATTCAAGCTAATTTATCAGCAGTCTGGTTTCCATAGTACATGGTCTGTGAATTTTAGGATTCAGTCGACCTTGTGTAAGTCTTATTTATTTATATATTTATATAATATTAAAATAAAGGTATAAGGCAAAGAAGAATAAGACGCTTTTAATTTAATTTGTAAAGAAATATATTGTGATAAGTATTTGGATTATTAAGTACAGGCTGGTCGCCCTACTGATAGGCAACCAGATTTTCCTCGGGGATTTTCCCTTTAGGGGCTGTGTTTCCAAAAATATCCCTGTAGGTGCCAACGGCGGGGGTTAAGACATCGCTTTTATTGACTCCCTCGTATTTTACAACTTTTATGAGCGGTTCTTTACAAAGAAAATTTGTTTTTGACTTTTTTGCTTTAATTTCACAAAGAAAAATACCTCACATTTAATCATTGTGTTTATAATGGTGAATATATAGAGTTATGTTTTTTAAGTAGCTTATGACGTCTTGAGTTTCTGAGTGCGACAAAGAAATGCTTACTTTTTTTTGTATTGTCGTATATATTTGTTTCTACTCGTTTGGGGAACAGGATACAGTTCTAAAGGTATGTTTTTATGCTATAAGCTATGTAAACGAGCAAACGGATTGCCTGGTGGAAAGTGACTACCGACGCAAACAGTCACCTGCAATTCAAGAGTCATAAGTGCAAGAATAATTGTACAACTCCTGTAGTAGGAATATATTCTGTGTCACAGGGGAATATATAAACATTCGTGGAACGGACACAAAGAACCATTACAACAGTTTGTGGATAACACGAAGTGTTGTCCCACGTGGGAATCGAGCCCACAACACTTATAGCCCACAATATCAGTAGCAAGTGGCGAGGTGACCGCTTAAGCCACTGCGCCGTCCATGCAACCAATGCTGCGTTCAATTCATAGTTGCTTAACAGAAGGATATTGGGGATATTGGTAATAGGGATGGATTCAGGAGTGTTAACAATATTTCGAGCAAGCCAGGGTCGAATACCTATAGCAAGAAGGCCGAACTCTCTAACCATAAAATAATATATGCCTAAGTTTGAAAAATACACTTTAAAAACATCATAACACGCGTGAAGATTTAGGTAATCAATTTCACTTCCATCAATTGATTCTGATATCGATGCGATAAAACATTTACTATCTTGCGAAGCTGTCAGTGACAAAAAACCTTTGCTACAGTCAACATGGGGATCGTAATACACAAATCAGACTCTAGCCCATCATCCAGAGCTGTTTTAATGATAGCAGAAATCCTTAACCTAAGATATGAGACCAGAGATGTAAACGTCCTAATCGGAGATCACATGAAGCCTGAATATCTAAAGAAAAATCCTGAACATACAGTTCCTTTACTAGAAGATGGAGATTTTGTATTAGCAGACAGTCACGCCATAATAACATACCTCGTTTCAAAGTATGGAGCTGATAAACGTGCAGAACTATACCCTAGTGATCTGGCATTAAGAGGTACAATTGATCATCGGTTGTTCTTCGATGCGACTGTACTTCTACCAATTAGTGAAAGAATCTTATTGGGTAAAACTAATAATTTAAATGAGGAAGAAATTGAAGAAGTTCAAGATGCTTACGGAATACTAGATAAGTATTTGCAGGAGACCAGGTTTGTGGCGTGCGATTATTTAACTTTAGCTGATATCTCATGTATAGCTAGTGTTTCTACCATGGATGTTTTAGTGCCTGTGGACGAAAATTTCGAGAGAGTCTTTACTTGGATTACCAGGCTGAAAGATGAGGATTGGTATCAAATGGCCAATATTCCTGGGCTGAACCAAATTGCTGAGTTCTTGAAGAATACCATGGATGATAGCGCCTGATAACGTTGCTTGGACGTATGAATTTACATTTAACTCATTGAATTATCTGTTTTTATTAGATGCTCCGAAGTACTGCTTAATAGGACTGTTTATTTTTTTCTTGTTTTTTTAAAGGCTTACTAGCAACCGAAATTATTAGTATTCCCGTTAACCCCTCCAGCTAAGCTAGATTGCTTGTGTTAAGAGTGGGTTCAAGTCGGTACTGGTCAGTATTCGAACCCACGACCCCCAATCGCAAGTCCAATGCCCTAACCACTAGGCTACCACCGCTTTTATTTACCGATTGTCTGATATTTTTGTTTTTCTCTGTTTATAGTGTGTCGGTAGCCTGTAGAATACTTATTACACTCAAAACAATTCTCACCCTCATAATGATAAAGGCCTAGTTCAAAATGCAGTTTCCAAAATATCTTCTAGAACAATAATACATATCTATATGCACATATGCATATTCACTTGAATAGCATAGTCAACGTTAGTGACCGAAGGCTATCGCCTTTTAGCAGAATATGCTTTTTATAGGATGGTTCGAGAAAGATTAGAAGTTCCAGAAATTTCGAGTTAAGTGAATTGAATTTTAAGATTGCGATTTGTCTTCAATTAACTAATAATAAAACCGTGTGGCGAAAGATTAAGAATACGTGGTGTCGCCACCCCTATTCATTCCGTGGGTATCTTAAGAGCCGACTAAGGGAGCAAACTTGAAACAAACCCTATACCAACCCGTCAGGCCAGCGTGGTACAGTAGGCCAAAGCCTCCTTTCTAAGGAGAGGCCTATATCCAGCAGTGGACAGTATTAAAGGCTGTTGATGTAATGATGTGATGTGAAATGATAATAATAATTTTAATTTGTATTTTCTAATTATATTGACATTAGATTAGTGTTATATAGTTTATAGTTTGAATTGTCAATGAAACATCTTATAATACGTAGTTTATCAGTTATTGATAATATCTGCTGTACTTGGTAGATTAACAGTACCCATAGTATAATTTTAAATAAGTGTATTAGAACTAAAGTAAGCTGTCTGTTTTTTTAGAAATTAAGGATTAACTAAACGTAAAACTTAGCTTTCTGTGACTTTCATAGTACTAGTGTTTAATGCAAACAACTGCCATTAAGACAGAAAAACCCTTTAAATTGAGAAACTGGTCAGGAGAATAATTTCTCAATTTAAGGAGACTTGTTTAATCCAGGAACGCTTAACAAAACGTGAAGTATCATTGAATATAACTTTTAGATATGCATTCATTGTTCTATGTCTGGGTGTAATTTGCCCATAATTTATATGTATTTAGTAATATTTAAGTATCAGCAGTCTGTTTACAGGCGATACCTATTTTGATGATGATCCGATATCTCCGGCCGATCCGGTCGGATCCTCCGAGATGGCCTTTATCTCCAGTTATCAAAAATATAACAAAAAATATTGTAATGTATCTTGTGTGACCATTGTATGTCTTTCTATGTACCTAATACATCGCTGCATATGTTTTGTAATTATTATAGTACTGAACTTGTTATTTGCCTTTTGTTACTATGGTTTTTTTTGCTAATAAAACAATAATATAAAATAATAATTTTAATTTTTTGATGTTGTTCTAGTGGTTAGTGACCCTGACTGCTAAGCCGGAGGTCGTGAGTTCGATTCCCACCCAGGACAAATATTGTGTGATGAGCCCGGTCATTTGTTCTATGTCTGGGTGTAATGTATCTATAATATGTATGTATTTACAAATATATAAGTATGTTTATCAGCAGTCTGGTTACCATAGTACAGGCTCTGCCTAGTTTGCAATCAGACGGCCGTGTGTGAGATGTGTGAGGTATATTATATTATTATTGTTTCTGGAAAACTTAAAATTACAATTATCTGTTAGGTACTTTAGGTCAAGACACTGCTATCTTTTTGAATCATCATCAGCCTATCGCAGTCCACTGCTGGACATAGCCCTCTCGCATTGCACGCCACTTAGATCGATTTTGGGCTTCTCGCATCCAGCTCTTAGAATATTGATGATATGAATGATATGAAAATTGATTTAATATAGTGAAAACAAACATCTTAGACAATATCTTATTGTTATCATAAAAAGGAGTGATACATTTTGTGATAAGGTAAACCGTCTGGCAACAATGATAATGTATTTATTAATATAACTGTAGATTGTTCCGCGAACATCTGTGTTGTGATGATATTCTTTTTTGTTTTTATTTTTATGATATAGGGCGGCAAAAGAGGGGCCTGGGGGGAAGGGGGACTAGTTTTGAGCAATGAGAAAGAGTCGTTATCACTGGTTTTCTGATAGTATTTTTAGGACACGAAATTGTATGTTAAAAATGTATTATATATGTATAAAATGGACATCTGTTAGTACATACTTATAAATAAGAAACTGACTTTGTTTGTTTCTTTGTTACGCTGAACCATTGAGCCGATTTAAAAAAAAACTTTTACCAATGGAAAACTACAAAATCTTCGAGTAATATAGGCTATGTTACTTTTCCCGCGATAACTGATATACAAGCTACTATTGTACAGTTATACCTAGATATCTCTATGCATATAGATAATAAAAACAATACATGAATACAAAATATACTCAAGGTTATGGGGTCATTATTATATGTGTATCAATCAATTGTGTCCTGTAAAATTCACGGTATGCACATCAAATAAGGAGATGGAGTAGAAGATTAGAATTAAGTGAGAGGTTATTTGAAGAGCAGAGATCTCTATCTTGGCTTGATGTTAATAATTGAATCTGTAAACTCCAAGGCCATGACACAATACGCATGATAAATGAAATTTATTTCTGTAGATGGTGCCGGCATTTCCTAAGACTCACTCTGGGAAGAAACGCCGAAACAAACCAAAGATGTGTCTTTTTTTTAGTCCGTAAACAAACTTAAAGAAAACTATGCCAGTACAGTGTAGGCCTGTTGAAGAAAGGACCATAGTTTTGAGTTGACCTGTTTATACAGGCGTCATACTGGCCTCAGCCATTCTGTAGCTTAACCGATACTAGTCAAGATCAACGACCCCAAGCGCGACACTACCGCCAGCAGGACATTTGAGTAGACCGTTGAAACCCCTTAAAAAACCACCAGAAAGTTACTAAATATGAAGTAACTGTACAAGCCCATACTATAGTCACATTTATATACTTACACAAACGAATATACAATTCAAGTTCAATGAAAAAATTAACAAATTAGAAACAAACGAAATACAATAATACCTTAAATGTCTATCACTTTCAAACATAACAACAATGATAGGAACATATGAGTGGGATGGAATGGGGTGGAGTGAGCAGCATCAATCCCAAGCAAATTTGTCATCTGAATAATCTGTAACTCTGTAGTAAGCCTTTTCACATAGTTTTTGTGTTACTGAAGACTTAAATTTTTTAATATTTAGTTCATGAAATTTGCTTGGAATTTTATTGTAGAACCATACACCCTGGCATCGAAAAGACTTGCTTACTTTCTGTAGTCTAGTGACTGGTAAAACGAGTTTATCCTTATTTCTTGTGTTTAATTGGTGAATATCGCTGAATTTTGGGAATAAATGAATATTTTTCTTTACATACACTAAATTTTCATACATATACTGAGATGCGACTGCGAATTTCTTTAAACTTATCCCTCAGTGACTGAGGCCTATAACTGAGATTATAAATTGCGCGACACGCTTTGCAACACAAAGATGCTTTGAATGACAGCAGCATTTCCCCACAACAAAATACCGTATGACATTACACTATGAAAATAGCTAAAATACTCTAGCTGTTTAGCATGTTATGGGTAGCTGTGGTATAGGTAATCAAGATGGATTCTCAAAATAAACATATTTAGCTACTCTTCAGCTTTATGATATATTATTTCTTTTTTCTTAACGCATTAATATATTGATAAACAAAACCGAACCTTCTGCGCACATTTATACCTACATATACTCGTACATGAAAAGGGGCGTTATCGTAATGATATAGTCCGTAGATTTATTCGGACCGATCCGTTTGTCAATGTTCACGGCGAAATTAATTACGGATCGGTCAGGGTTCGAGTCCTGAGCCACGTATTTGAATGGTCATTTGGGATGGAAGTAATTAAGATAAAATATTGTTTTATTTGTGCCAGCTGTATTGGGTATTCTGCGGGAAAGGAGGGTAGTCGTAAAAATTGTCGGTACTGTTGATATTTTATGATATTGACATTGGAAAAAATAATAATTTACGAGGTTTTATTACTTTGTATCGTCATTAACTTTTTTTTTTTAAATGTTATTTTGCTGATGTCTAATTTTAAGAGCATTAATGGCCTTTAGTTTTTTATGCAGAGACACCTACAACTCAGTAGTCACAAGTGCTTTGTTAGCCCTTGAGGATAACAAACAGGACAACAGCACTGCGAGGAGAAGGAAACTTGAACCAAACCCTTTTTTTTACGTGTGGATACCCCCTCGGGCCGTCATCCTACCGGTACCTACGGCCCAGAAATACCCCAGGCTATAATGTATTTTAGTAGTAGTCACTTTTAAATGTGTAAACAAATGTCTCAAGATATTTATAATTTGTATGCTGAGCTTTTGCTTCGTAGTTAAGTTCGAGGATTTCAGCTACCATCAGAACAGCTCTGGATGGTGGGCACACGACTGTTTAATATATAGTGACCGACATGTTGAATGCTTGAATTCGTTTTTGATAATGAAGAAAGAATTTGTGTTGTTTTTCATCACTACACTGTATTGTATTCATTTAAATATATATTGTCACTTTATCAGTTCAAGTCCGTGTGGTGACGGATTAAGAATACGGATTGTCACCACCCCCAATCATCCCGTGGGTGTCGTAAGAGCTGACTAAGGGAGCGAAACTACGCAGGACAACAATACTGCAAAGAGAAGGAAAACTTGACAAAACCCTATACCAACCCGTCTGGCCAGCGTGGTACAGTAGGCCAAAACCTCCTTTCTAAGGAGAGGCCTAAGTC